GGAAGAAATCATATCTTCTAAACATAACAAGAATGCCCAAAACATTACTGACAAGAGAGAGCACCAATCGGTAAGCATTGAGAACTAAAAGTTTAAATTTGAGATTGTCAAAATGGACTAAAAATATATATTTTTAGTTTCTCAACTTGTAATAAATGCATTTTTTTCGTACCTCCATTTTGAGTTAAGGGATTAAAAAATATATATTTAAACAAATTTAATGAAGTAACTAATAAAAAAATTTTAAAAATATATATTTCATAATTGATGAACTAAAAAAATACATAAAAAATTAAAAAACAAAAATTATACAAAACATTAAACTTAAAGACCAAAAATAAAATTTATCCCTTTTAAATTTGAAATAATTTGCACCAACCAACTTTTGGTATATCAGCTTTTTACCTTGAAAGATCCACCGACACATTGAAATTCGATCAAAATGAATAAAATTTAATCAAAATAAAATTAAATCATGTATTATTTCAAATTAAAAATAAAAATTGATATGTACTAGCTATACTAACCGATAGGAAACAAAATCAACAACTTTGGAACGGAGACCCTGCCATTAATTTCGATTTTTATTTCATGTACTAGAGCCAGCACATTAACATGTTGGAACTCTGTCCCTGAGTTTAAAACTTTTTTTAACAGTAGGACAAAGCCACTTCAACTACCTGTAACTTTGAACTCAGTATTATTAGGAAAATGAACATTGACTATTCTTATATGTACGGAAAACCAGACCTTAGGAAGATCTGTGCTCATTAAATACCCCCATTTCATTCTTTCTTAATTCTCCACATCTCTGGTTGGCTTCCAGCTGGTACTCCGTTTAGCAGCCATGGCCGAGGGGAACGTTTGTGCTAATTAAATACCCCATTTCCCTTTTTTCTTTTTGGGAAAAGGATAGGTTTTTGTATTTTAGTTGATGCATCGGCATAGCTTCCTAATTAATTTTGCTCATCTTATCTGCCCTTTCTTCTATGTCAAAACCTGAATCTTCTTCTTCCACATAATCCTTTTATGGAAACTTTCTTCTCTTCTAATATATATATATATACTTGCTTTTACAGGTGACTACAATGGTGCTAAATGTGGATTTACAGTGCTCAAAATGCTACAAGAAAGTCAAGAAACTTCTCTGCAAATTTCCTGGTGAGTCTCTTTCTCCAATTTTGTTAACATAATTTCCGTACGCGTTGAATAAATTGATCAGCATAATGGACTGAGTCGTTGTGTTGTGAACAAATTAATTAAAGAAATACGAGATCAGGAGTATGATGAGAAAGCAAACAAGGTGACAATTAAGGTGGTGAGCAGCTCGCCGGAGAATATCAGGGACAAGTTATGCTGCAAGGGTGGTGGATGCCGCAAGGGTGGTGGATGCATCAAGAGCATTGAGATACCTCCGCCTCCGCCTCCGCCTAAGCCTAAGCCTGAGCCTAAGCCTGAGCCTAAGCCTAAGCCTAAGCCTGAGCCTGAGCCTAAGCCAAAGCCTGTGAAAGTATCTGACAGTATAATATTTGAGGGTATTTATGTAATTCTGTAGTATAGTGCTGTATATACATATAAATATGTAAACCTAATTCTGGATTGGAATGAG